GGGGGTTACCTACGCTAGGAGCTGGGGATCCACACCATTCATGCAGTTTCAGAAGCTCTCTCATTTGCGAGGACACGGGAGTAACCTGGTGGACAGTTCCATAATAAAATAGGCCACATCGTCTTCAATCGGAGGTTTCGCCTGACTGACGTCGCTGTTGTTCCGAAGTTCTACACGGGATCGGACAATCGTCTCCTCCGCGCTAGATTCTGCTTCCCAATGCGTGGAGAGAGAGAGCTATGAAGTTGAGGAAACAAAGGTCCAGAACTCCACAATTAGGACCACTTCGCTTCTCCTGCGAGTGAGTGGGAAGAAAAACGACATCGATGAAGAATACGACCGGCACGCTGAACATCTTCACGATAGTGCTAGGAAATCAGAGAGTCTACAAGTAGCCAAGAGACGGCTCTCGTCGAAGACTATGGAGTGCAGGCAATCATCAACGAACGTCCGAACTTACGAAGCTATGCAGAGAAGCGATAAAGGGAGGTCTGAAAGAGAGAAGAGCAGCAGTCATGGACGATGCTGCCACCGATGCTGGAAAAAGCATTCACGAAGCCCGACAAAGTTTCACCAGTTACGAGGCTGAGATGTCTTTCCTACGCCGACCTAACGGAACAGTTACTACATCTCGAAGGGCAATTGAGAATGTTGTCTACGACTTCTACTCAGATCTCTTCGAAAGCCTCGTCTACCTACCTACTCATCATCTTAGGCAAGACGAATATATCGCTCCTTCGATTCTGTCTTCAAAAATTTGGCATGCCATCACGTCAATAATCAATTGTACGGCGCTCGATCAAACCAGAACATCTGAAGAATCTTTCACTCTTTATCGTTTGAACTCTGGCCAGGCTGTTCACGTGGTACCTGTCGGAATGCAAAGTGCCCACGTCGTGAAAAGCTAGCAAGACCACGTTGCCGAACAAGAGGGGGATCCCGACGGTATTGGCAACCATCGCCCGATCTGACTGCTGTCTGTGATCGACGAGCTTTTCACAGTCGCCATCTTCAACAGGATTGGCAGAATATTAGATGAAGGACAGCCATGAGAGCAAGCAGGGCTTCGGAGAAGGTTTCGATCACATCCACTTTCCTACAAGACTCACTGAAGTATGGCGAGAGTACAAAATGCTTTTCTTCATACGTTGACCGATCTAAAAAAAGCTTTGATACCGTCGAGACAAAAGCGTAATCGAAGCCTCTGGCAACCAGGGTGTTCCTATTCAATGTATAAGGATGCCTCGTGAGCTCTACAACAACCACGACCAGAATCTCGCCTCTCTATGAAGGGGTCATCGTCATTGTGAAAGGAGGGGTTCGACAGGGCGTACTATCTCGCCCATACTTTTAAGTGCCGCTCTCAAGATTATCATGCATCACATGAAATGGGTAGGCATGTGATCGAAGGTCGATGGACAAAAATGCTGGTCGAATTGGACAACTAGTCTTCAAGGACCGGCTTACAATCGAACCCAACGAAGACGATGTCCATGAGAAAGAGAATGATTCGTGATGCTTCCTTCACGCCGGATTGAACGAATATCTCTGAAGTCTTTGGCTACGTGATCTAGGTCGGGAGGTAAACATGTTGAAGGTGCTGAGCAGAAGGAAACGCGCAGCGTGGGGAGCACTCAAGAATACCGAGGGAGTAGTGAAGAAGTCAAAGAACGTCCGGCTCCGCGCTCCATTTCGACACTGCTGTCCTTCTTGCTTTGGCGTACGCCTAGGAGACTTGAACTCTACAAAAGCAGGATGAACATCCTGTCAGCGTTGCTTAAGACGATGCTCGGAATTCCTTATACATGCAAATACGATGCTCGGGATTCCCCTATACACGCAAGTGCAGAAGGAAATCCGAAGTGTCGAGCTCCGTCATCGAACGAAGATCAGAGATGCCGTTGATTACGCCTAGAGATCGAAGATCAGGTGGGCCGGACACTTTAGGCGATATGGTGACGACAGTTGAGCCATGGCGGTTTCTAACTGGATCACTCAAGACGTGAGCGAACACCACGACGATCGCCAACGGAATGGTCAGACTTCTTCTCGAAAGCTCTGAACGAAAGGAATGTCTCTGAAGCGAAGACGATTCACTGGACCACTCTGGCTCGTGACAGGGACGAATGCAAACGTTACTGGCGCCCGCTCGAGGAAATCGACGATCAACGGGAGGAAATGTAATACAGGTGACTCTGGCTTGAAAGAATGTCCTAATGGAAGGTGATAGGTTAGGCCACCTTCCTATCTCTACCGTACTATAAGGAGTGTAAGGGTGTACCATCGAGATTTGAGATATCATCCATGACTGATTTGAGCTGTGTTCAATACTTAGTTCTCAAAAACGCTCATGTCGAAGTGGATAGAATCAATATTCCTTCTTTCAAATCAATCTAGGACTTCGGATAGCGCTAAACGGCTGACTTGAATTTTATAGATAGGGAGGGCCAAATGTATAGATAATAATGTTTAATAGAGTGGAATTCTGATCCGGTCTCGACCCTAGTGCAGTATTTTCGCTCTAAATGATGAAAAACATTAATTCTAATTGAATCAAATTGGCTTTACGTCTACGAAATTCCATTGTAATAAAATATTACCTATTTCCTTACCTTGAACTCAAAAATTGACTACATCGAACAATTTTGTCCATACAAATGCATGTGAACAGACCAATGATAAATACCAAAGCGAAACCCGTCTGAAATGAAAAGGTTCAAAAAAATGCGTATGAACGGAATCTATGAAAGTATTTGAATAATATATGGGCTGAAAAATAAGCAAAAATGCCTGGATTCTAAATCTCACCCATAGACCGGCTTGACGAAATGCTAACGGAAGTGAAAAGCACCCAGGACCAATCATTCCTTTGAGAAAGTTGATTAGCGCCAGATGAGCTCTACAAGGTTCTGTACTCATATAGGCGACCACAAGATAAAGTGAATGCTGATTCGTGTCCCTGCCCTCAATTCAATGTACCCATTCAGATTACTTATACTAATTAAAAACAAATATAGGATTGTTGTCTCAATTAACAGTAAAACACCATAACAAGGTACCAAAAAAATTCCAAAAAGGAAGATATTCCAAAATATAAAGATATTCATATAAATAGATACAAAATGCAACACATAGTAAGAGGATAAGGCCTTTTGGCGTTATCCAATCTCGACAGAGTAGGCCTCCAAGCATTCGACCTCAATTCAGAATATACGTGCGGTGGCCAGCCGATGTACAGGCCAGTGCTTTTATCAACCCAGACGAGACTGCCACCCATTAATCGACCCGGGAGGGATGGAAGCTTTGGTTATGAGCTAGACGTATATGGATCCCTATTCGAACCCGTGATCATGCGTGTGTGACAGTGCCGCTACACAACCCCCACCCCTTATATATGATGATAATATTTCTGAGTTTCACCTAAACTTTGGCGTTGTTTGTACTTTTCGAAGATCTTGACTCATCACCTTTATTGGTAAGCTTTCGGCATATAATGCCTTCGTTAGACCTTAATTGTTTGCTATATGTATTAGGTTGATGCATAATTAATGCGGATTTTTTCGCGGTTTTTTTTTCTCCATAGAATTTGAATACTGAGCTCGAGTTTTTTCTAGAAATGATCTACTTGATTTCCTCTACAAGAATATACTCAAAAAACCATCCGCTTATTCGCGAAATTAGGCTCTGCTACTTCGAGAAAGATTGGAAGGTGGCGCAGTCATTCCGCGATCTCAGTAACTTTTCGGCGATCGAACAATCAGTCAGAGCCAGTCAAGAAATGGGATCTGCCCTAAATCTGCCATATTCACCAGCAGAAACTTTTATGGATTATCTCGTCAACCGTTCATCGAAATAATGGCTAGAGAATAGAAGTCACGTCGATTTGGATGACTTGATGGCCGATGTCAAGGCGTGGATCGCCCGTAAGGATCAAAACTTCTTCGCTTTTGGGATCCGACTAACTAATCAATGGGAAGCAGTGCTCGACGTAGATGGTGAATAAGTTCCAGAGTAATTATTTGAATATGTCTTTGCTCAGTATTTCTATAGTTTCTTTAAGTAAAATTTGATGGAAAAAATCCGCGATAATTATGCATCAACCTAATATATAGAGGCAGGTAAAAGGCAGGGGAAATAGAATATATAAAAATAATCGTGTTTTGACCACCAGGAAGTCATGTGTACTTTCACTAGATCACCTAATGAACGATCGACAAAAAGTTACTGAGATCGCGGAATGACTGTGCCACCTTCCAATCTTTCTCGAAGTAGTAAAGCCTAATTTTGCGAATATGCGGATGGTTTTTTTAGTATATTCTTGTAGAGGAAATCAAGTAGACCATTTCTAGAAAAAACTCAAACTTGATATTCAAATTTTATCGAGAGAAAAAAGCAGCGAAAAAATTCGCAGTAATTATGCATCAACCTAATATATTGCTGCTTACAATCGGTTACTATCAGTTACAATACAAAACACATCAGACCATACCATTTCCACCGGAAGCTGGGGAAATGGGAATGGATCTGTCGGCGAGGCACTTAAAGGGAAAATGGACGCTCTCTTCCTGAGGCGACTAAGTGTTGCCACACAATAAGTCCCAAGAGGTCATGTACCTCTCCTTAAGAATTGATTTCCGGTTTGATGCGGTATATTTCCCGTGCCTTCATGATTTTCCTTCCCAATAGACGATTGTTTGATTCAATGTGGGGGATGTGGAGAAAAGTACGTGTGGGAGACCGTGAGACCACTGAAGGTCTGTTTGGATGAACATAGAAAGCGTTGGCCAATTCCTCTGCCCATCCACACAGCAGTTTTTCCAGGCACCGTACGTTAGGCATAAGAAAGGAAACGTTCCATCCTTTGATGTGAAGGTCTTGCATAGATATTTGGTACGGCCACTGGAAAGGAAAATCATGGAGGCGCGAGAAATATACCGCATCAAACCGGAAATCAATGCGATAGAAGAGATGCGTGACTTATTGAGACTGATCAAGTGATAACATTTGTTGTTAGTCGCCTCAAGACAGGAGCGTTGTCCATTTTCCCTTCAAGCTCCCCCATTCCCCCCAATATTTCCTGTTGACGGTATTATTCGATGTGTCTTGTATTGTAACTGATAGTAACTCTTATTATATACTACTAATATACTGCAACTAATTAAGGTCTGGCGGAGGCTTTATATGCCGAAAGCTTACCAGTTAAATTCAAGGGTCAAGAGCTTCGAAGAGAAACAACGACAATAGGTGCAATGATAATGTATATTAATGATAATGATGTCAAAATAATAGTAGTAATGCAATGTAAAATAATGTATGCAAAAAGAAATCAATAAAGCGTCAGTTGTTCTGCTTTACTCTCTCTGTATACAGTGAACAAACTGTTCTTTTTTATTTTCCGCGCTCTTCTAAAACAAGCATGAATGCTAACTTTTCGCAGTGTTCTGATCTTGCGAAGAATTGTGACTGATTCGAATTTTGGCCAAATTAAGGAAACTTGGCAAAAGGTTGATTATGAGCTCGTGTGTAAATGAATGTAAAGTTCGAGCCATGGCCTGAAAACTACGAGAAGGAAACTGAAGGTCAATATTGATAAAGTCCACTCACGATATGCCTTTCTTTTTGGTTACGGTAGCTCTTTCGTTCGAATCCTTCACGGCTTTTGTGCCACTTGTGAAATCCGTCATGCTAATATGTGGCATTACTTTCTCTGACTATTCTAAAAAAAGCACATTCAATCAGTGGCTATTCCTTATCATGCAGAAAGCCCAGAGAGTAATTCTCAACACAAGCAAGACGTCGGGCTATAAATCCTACTATATGTATGTAACGCGCTAAGTGTGTCTGTTGTTTTGTCTGTGCGTGTTTGCGTTTGTGTGTCCAACCTGAAATTCATCACTCCCATTCCCAT